GCTGATAAAATTTCATTTCTCAATATGTGTAGTGGATAGCATACAGTATGTAATCTTCAAGATAAATTACTATTTATCAATAAGAATGATGGATTTATCAGCACAAAGGGATTTTTGATTATTCTGTTCTAGATACCTAAGTGCTTATTGTTCTGAGTAATTTTAAAGACAATAAACCAAACCAAGATTTTTTTTTAAAAAAATATGTGTACTGGTTACATAGATGTATTCACTTTGTGGAAATCCATCAAGTGGTATACTCATATTTGTGCCTTTTCTATGTTTTTGTTGTACTTCTACAAAAAGACTTTCAAAAGGTTACATAAGGAGGAGTTATAGCCTAGATTCTCTCCCTAATTCCAGCAGGAGACAGTTTATTCCCTGGAAGAAACTAAACCACAGAGTCCCTGATTCAAAGACATCAGGCGTAGTAGAAAACACTGCTCTGGAAACAGAGAGATTAAATACTCACTAACCTTGAGATGCCAGTTTTTTTCCCTACTCAGTTCCCTGAATCTTGGTGTTCACTGCTGAAGGAAAAGACCAAAAGACTTCTCTCAAGTAAAACTGACACACCTAAGGAAAAGATCCACATACTCTTTGTTGTGTAGCAGGCCAAAAGAGCAACCTACACTAGGCTCCAGGAAGGAGGTCTCCAAAAATGGAGTGTTGAGAAGAGTGTTGGAGTTTTGTCAGAAAGCTTACAAGTATTAGAGAAAAATCAAAGTATATAAATGAAAAAGTAGGACCACTCTGCAGCCAGCACAAGAAAGGAAATATAATCATTGCATTTAAACACCTTATCTGTGGATAATAGTTCCATGCGCATAATAATGTGAACAGTGGATATTGATTTAACAAAAAAATATATTATTGAGAGAACAGGGAAGGAGAAGTTTGTGCATGTGACATGGCGCAGAGGGAGTGTGATATAATGAAAAAGAACTAAACCCTTACCTTCCACAGTAGTAAGTCAACATATAATGTCCCCTAATGAAAAATCAAAACATAGTAGTATATGTATAAAATTTAAAGAGATGGAAGAAAACAGCAGAAAGAGCCAGAAGACTCAAAAGTGGTTACGTGGGGAGCAGGACTTGGTTATAAGGATGGGCTAAAGCTTCAGGCACCTATTTTTTTAGTATAAACCTATTGCTTATTAAGATTTTTACAAATCTATATATGATATTACTTTGATGGAGAAAAAAGGTTAAACTTTTTTAAAGTTTGCAAACTTTGTAAAGTAAAGGCTGGGTGCAGTGGCTGGCACCTGTAATCCCAGCACTTTAGGAGGCCAAGGCAGGAGGATTGCTTGAGGCCAGAAGTTTGAGATCAGCCTAACATAGCGAGATCTTATTAGCCAGGCATGGTGACATGCGCCTGAATTCCCAGTTACTCAGGAGGGTGAGATAGGAGGATCGCTTGAGCCCCGAATTGTATTCTTAGCAGTGAGCTAAGAATACCACCACTGCACGTTGACCTGGGTGACAAAGTGAGACCCTGTCTGTCTATATCTATCTATCTATCTATCCATCCATCATCTATCTATCTATCTATCTAAAATATATGTAAATAAATAAATACAAAATAAAACAAAAACCAAGAAACATATAAAATAACAGGCAATAATAATAAAGTCTGACCTGCAGAAGGAAAATGACAGTAAGACAATCAGTTCTCCAAGGTAGTACAAGGTCCAGGTGAGAGCTGAGAAGTTCTTTTACTATGACAGCTGCTAAGAGAAGGTATGTATAGTAGAGAGATGAGAGTAGAGGGGAACAGAGGATGGATTCAAAAGATACAGAGATTCAGAATCAAGAGATATGGGGGGTCAAGTAGGTGACTAAAAGGCAAGGCAGGACTTGAACCCTAGTGAAGTAGGGCATGCCCAAAATATCCTTCCATCTGGATATTTATTTATTCCACAAATACTGGTTCTTTGGGAGCATCATATTCTCCTATGTAACAAGAAGGGTGTTTTTTTTCTTTTCTGTTTTATTTTGTTTTCTTTTAAAGAGATAGTGTCTCATTGTGTCACTCAGACTGGAGTGCAGTGGCACAATCATAGCTCAATGTAGCCTCAAACTCCTAGGCTCAAGCGATTTCCCCACCCCAGCCTCCAGATTAGCTGGGACTATAGGTATACACCACCATGTGTGGCTAATTTTTTCCCTTTTTTTGGTAGAGACAGGGTCTCGTCATGTTGTCTAGGCTGGTCTCAAACTCCTGCCCCAAGCTATCTTCTCATCTCAGCCTCCCAAAGTGCTGGGATTACAGGCACAGGCCACTGCACCCAGCCTAGAAACATTTTAATTTTCTTCTTGTTTAAAGTTTTGGATTATTACAAAATACTCAAATAGAAAAATACAGAAAATAATAATAGTGATCATCGAGGTATTCACTATTCAGCTTTTCAAAATATTAACATTTTCCTTATAATTTCTTTTTATTTTTTAAAGAAATAAACATTACATACAGATATAGTTGAAATCCTCTTCAAACCATTCCTTAATCCATTCCCCTAACTTCCTCCCCAGAAAGTACTATTAACCTGAATTTGGTATTTAACATCCCCATAGATGTCACCTCTAAAAAGAGAGCATTCATTTAAATGAACTCTAATGCCCTGTTCTTTTCTAAGACACCAGGATTCTGTAGTATAACAAAAAGTCCTTGATGTTCTATAATAGAAATGCAGAAGTCTACGCTACTGTGAAATACACAAAAAGATTTCAAAATAATTTCAAACCTCAGAACAGATTTTGAATCATGACGTAATCCTTCAGCAAAAAAAAAAAAAATCATATCATATTAACTTTATTGCAGTAGTATCAGTACAAAGATTAATATCAATACATAGGGTACATAAAAACCTAAATTTAAGAAGTCCACTGTGGTTTACTTTCATAGTACCCATCAGCTACAGGGAACAATGAGTTGCTTAAGTACAACATCCTTATTGGAGTCTCTACTATCTATGTAACTAATTCACTGCAGTACCAAATTGTCCCAGTTGTCGTTATATTCTTCTATGTTCTTCTCTGCCAGGCAATTGCAGCAGAAATATTCTTTTAAAAAGTCTGTAATGCCAGTTTTACTTAAGAATGTCCTTGATGGTACAGGTAAGTTATTTTTATTACATCTCAACCCCTGAGTGCATGTCTTTTTAATTTTATGGGTGATAAAGTAGGAAGTAAACATAAAGCACGTCTGGTGCATACTAAAGCATGATGACTATCTCAAGGAAGACGCCTGTATGATGATTTTAATTGTAAGCCAAACCAATCACTATTTACATGGAGTACCATTTTTACTTGCAAGAACTGACAAACTACTGTTATTTGTACTTGGGTATTTGGCAGCCATTTTCTTAAAAATGAAGTGAGAAGGTTGCTTTAGAAAAAAACTGATGGTGTCTGTTGCCCATGATAACCTTTAAGTTTCTTTTGTTTTGTTTTGTTTTGAGACAGAGTCTCACTTTGTTGCCCAGCCTAGAGTGAGTGCCGTGGCATCAGCCTAGCTCACAGCAACCTCAATCTCCTGGGCTCAAGCGATCCTCCTGCCTCAGCCTCCTGCGTAGTTGGGACTACAGGCGTGCACCTCCATGCCCGGCTAATTTTTTGTATATATATATTTTAGTTGGTCAATTAATTTCTTCCTATTTTTAGTAGAGACGGGTTCTTGCTCAGGCTGGTTTCGAACTCCTGACCTCAAGCAATCCGCCTGCCTCCCAGAGTGCTAGGATTACAGGCGTGAGCCCCCACGCCCAGCCTTTAAGCTTTTGATAGAAAATAAACATTTTGGAAAACTTGTTTCTACAATGAGCTTGAAACTTCCTAATACTTAAAGACTTGTCTAATAAGATCAAGTGGTGCTATCAACATATGTGAACTCTTGAAATTGTACAATGAATGTGTTAATATTTGGAATATCTATATTACCCAATAAACCAGTACTTTCCAAATGACCAACACTTCATGCAGTAAAATGGGGCATGGATATTCAATGGATCTTAATGTTAAAGAATTCAAAAGGTTTTAGATCTCATATTAGAACTAACAATTAAGAAATGACCACTTGTCAAGTTTTGATATAGTATCAAAGAAGAATATTCACAATTATCTGAAAAGGCAATTACAATACTCTTCCATTTCCAATTATATTCACAAGCTTTATAAGCAATTGTTGGATTATTCTTTCTGAATGTTAAAAACCATAAACACAGAATCACAATGGTTAATTACCAGTTTAATCTCTTATCATACCAGTCATATAAAAACAAATGAACTGGCCATTATTTATTTAAAACACACTCTTTTACAGTTATAGTTTTATACGTTTGCAACAAATATATAAATATCAGAGGATTAATTTACTGCAGAATCAAGATTGATTACTTCTCCAAAAGGAAAGGAAATGAATATCGTAAACTCTGACATCTGTTTTGGAGACGTGCAAGTCAAGTTCCTTTTCTCTGGTTATAAAGGAGCAAACCTATTTATTTAACATGTGACTCTTCAAACATATATACTAATCACTCAGATGACATGGTGTCAATGGATTTAAACCTTGGTTCTTAAATTTCTAAGGAAATGTCTTTCCATTGAAAAAACAGATCTTCCGTAAATTTCAAAAGAAATAATTTAATCTGAACAAAACCCTGAAACTCAGAAGTAGCATATCCAATGTTATTAACTTTTTGCAGATGCATTTTTAGATAGGTTAAGGAATAAAGTGATTGAAAGAGGATTGATTGTTCTTATACAAATCTATCTAGTTAATAAATATCATAAAGCACTAATTTCAAAGGCAAAAACTTTGGAAAAAATTCAGAATGAGAATTGACAATGTCCTAATAAGCAAAGTTCTATTACTCTGCTCTCTGAAAGAGAAAGTTTATACACTGTAGCTTTTCCAGTCAGGATATTCAAGAGATAACAATCAGAAGCTGCTTCTGCCCCTGTGCCTCCCTAAGGAGCCACCCATTTCCGCAGGCTCACCTTTGCAGTTCATTGAGCCCCCTGGCAGCTGGAAGGTTAGGGTTTTGCCTTAGGAAGTTTTGTTTTAAATTGAGATGAGTGAGGTCTTGGCTGTAGAAGAGGTTGGCAGGCAGATGCTCTAGGCTGCAACACGAGAGGTCCACTGAGCTAATGCGCTGCGATGCAACCTACAGTGGGGATAAAAGTACAATTTAATTTTAATACCATCCACTTATCCTATAATTACTTTCTATGAATAGAAATAAGATAACCACATTTGGGAACAGACACACTATGCAAGTAGCACTGTTAGTCCAAGCATAACTAATAGAGTATTGACAGCCATGCACCACATAACACTGCAGTCAATGACAGACTGTACATGCAGTGGTGGTCTCATAAATTATAATGAAGCTGAAAAATTTCTATAGCCTTGTGATTTGGTAGCCATCATAATGCTACAGTGCTACGTATAACCCTTTCTATGTTTAGATATGTTTAGGTACACAAATACTTATCATTGTATTACAACTGCCTACAGCATTCAGTACAATAACTTGTTGTACAGGTTTGTAGCCTAGGAGCAACAGGCTATACTATATATGGCCTTAGTGTATGGTAGGTTATACAATCTATGTTTGTGTAAAAAAAAGTGCACTCTATGATGTTAACACAATAAGGAAATCACCTAATGATGCATTTCTCAGACTATATCCCCATCACTAAGTGATACATGACTGTACCTAGTACAGAAAACAGAGCCTCTGCCTAGGAGGGTGCTTATAGTAACCTAGCATAGGAGACAAGTTCAAAATAATACAGATTATCCCATCAGGTTTAGTGATATCCGTAATTTCCTCTGATGTAGGAGTTTTATTCCTAAAAATACAAGGAATAATTCTACCTCATGGTAAGAAAATTCAGAGCTAAATAATACAAGACTTTAAAGCAAATGCAGGGTTAGGAGATAGACACTAAGATGTAAATCAACTGTATGAAAGTTCTTGTATATATACATTGATTTAAAATAGCACAAACAAAAAAAAGCAGTTTATCAATGGCCTTGTACACATCTTCAATAATAATAGTATCATATAATCAGGTTCCATTACCTACTTGCTATATACTTCTCAGGTTGCCTGTCCCTCCCACAGTTTCAATGAGATGCTTATAGATTCATTGTACTTTGCTTCACATGTAAGTATTCTATGTAAAACTTATTTTATGTCTAAATGTTTATCCAGATGTTCAATGCCTTCCTGGTTAAATGACTCCTACCATAGCCATGATCCTAGGGCTACAGACCAACTTGCATGCTGGAGACAGAAAATATGTTGGGTACCCTCTATTTCTCAAATGTTCTCGCCAATGTTCCATGGAATACACTGCCAGGTTATGCCAAAGCATGCGGCTTTAGCCGCACCACCCCACATCTTGGCTCCTCTCCTCACAGAGACCATGGGAATATAGCTCTAAGACTCCAGTTGATTCTCCCTCTTTATTGTTACCAAAGCTTTAGGGCAGAAGCTTTACTCCTAATCTCTGATCAATCTGATATCCTTTGCTATTGCCAAAGCTCAGGTTTCTTTTATTAATTACAGAAGGCAATAGAATAGAGTCCTTAGGACTGTGGGTCTGGACTCCCAGTGTGTGGATTCCTATCCCAGCACCATCACTTAGGAGCTGAGATAACTTGAGCAGATCACTGATCTCTCCAAGATCCAGTTTTCTCATCTGCATTATAGGCATAAAGCTAGTACCTACTTCTGTGTGCCTGGCACACAGAAAAAGTATTCGGTAAATGTTAACTACTATTACTACTAATACTGCTATTTCCAAACAGAGTAATTCACATTTTATATCCATTGGAATCCAAATTCTCCTGATGCTAAAGAGGTATTCAGAAGTAAATTCGCATAAAATATTTTCTGCTGATGGCATATTTGAGATTGGAAATAAATTACTGTGCACATATGAAATGTAAAGGGACCCTAGGGTGAAAAGGGCTGGGCAGGACTCATCCCAAAAGATCTTACAGAGGAAGTCTTGAGTTTGCATTTCAGCAGTTTTATCTTTCCTTGAATTTTCACCATTAAATAAGAAAAAGAAAATTCCAAACAGGGCCAAACCACTCATATAAAACAACAGATGTGAAAAGAAACAGAATTTTAATGGGCCTGAAAGACAGGTGCAAAAGCTATGGAGTTGACAGGAACCTGTTTCTAGAAAGTAAGATTGAAAGTTCTGTTAGTCAGTGGAATCATTCATTGAAAACTATGTGTTGAGCATCTAAGGGTGTGTGCCAGACCTTATATTTTCCGAGGTACAACCATAAAACAAGACAGATGCACACTCTGTCCTGAATGAGTACACATCAAGAGGAGATGGCAATTAAGATACTGCATGATAGTTGTTATAATAATAGAAAGTGCAACAGCACAGAACACTATCCCAAGGGATCAGGAAGGCTTCCCAGAGGATGTAACGTCCAAGCCCAAACTTGAAGCCTGAGTAGAAATCTGTGTTTTGTGTCTGCCGCAAATCCTTTCTCCAGTTCTTCCTGGTACAGTCCTTCAAACACATGTGATCCTAAGGGGAGCTGCAAACAAAGTATCCTGATGTTCCGTGTATAGGATAGGCATGTACTCCCACATGAGCAACCCTAGTGCTCCATCTGCTGAAGCCACAGATCCAACAGGTGCCAACAAGGGGATCCAAGTTAGGCTAAGCAGAGGACTTCTCTAGGATTTACATATTCTGAAGCCAGGAGAGAGACAGAGAGAACCAGCTGCTTGGTGCTGTGGTTAAAATGAATGAACTAGATCAGGTATCAACCTGAATTGATAAAAAAGCAAATTGCAATATGCTTCACACAGTATAATACCATTTAGGAAACACATTTTTAACACGAACATATACAACTCCATATTATATATAAATAGTTATATGTGCAATAGGCTGTAAAACCACACATTGGTCATATACCAAATTAATGACTGACTGTTTCTAGATAGGAAGGGAGGGAAATGGAAATAGGGAAGACAGGAGATTTTATCTGTAATGTTTATTTCCTTATAAGAGGAACAGCAGAAGATACAAAGCAACTGTATCAGTATGTTAAGAACTTGGGAGGCTGGTACATGGAAATTATATTTGTATTATCTTTTGTATTCTTCTGTGTATATGTGTGTGTATTTAATTTGAAAAATATAATATGATCTCAATAAAAATTTCAGTAAAAATAGGAAAAAAAGATGAAAGCAGTCTTCTGATTTTCCTCCCAATCGAGTGTTCTAATGAGTGGTACACCAGGGACAATTCTTCCTCCTGTAATCGAAGGATCCCCCAATCCTGTGTAGTGGGCGAATGGTAACCCTCAGAAATACACATTCATGTCCCAGTCCCCAGAATCTATGAATATTATCTTAAATGGCAAAAGTGTGAATATCACCTAATATGATGAACGATGTCATTAAGTTAAGGATCTTGACAAGGAGATGCTTACCCTGGATGATCCAGGTGGACCCTAAATACAATTGCATGGATCTTTATCTGAGAGGCAGATGGCATTGTACGATAGAAGAGGAAAAGGCACCGTGACCATGGAGGCAGAGACTGGAGTGATGTGACCATAAGTCAAAGAATACTGGCAGCCACCAGGAGCCAGGAAAGGCAAAGAGTGGATTCTATCCTGAATTCTCCCCAGAGCCTTTGAAGGAAACCAGGTCCTGCTGGTACCTTGATTTTGGATTTCTGGCCTCTAGAACTGTCAGAGAATAAGTTTCTATTCTTTTAAGCAGGAAGGTTTTATTGTTTTATTAATTTGTTGCAGCAGCCACAGGAAACTAATACATCCCTTCTCTATCTTTTCCATAGAAAAGTGCTTTTCATTTTCATTTATTCAGCATGTTCACTGAGTATCTACTAGGTGCCAATTACCATTCTAGGTAAGCACTTAATATACTTTAGTAAACAAAATGAACATCCCTGCCCCCATGAAGCTTTCCTCACAAATAAATTAGATGTTAAAAATTGGTAAGTCCTCTGGGAACAAACAGAACATGAAGATGGAGGTGAGGGAGCAGGATTGCTGCAACGGTGGTAGACTGTAATTTAAACGGGTTGGTCAGGGTGGGTGTCACTCAGAAGGTGACATTTAGACATGAAGGACAAGAGGAAGTCAGCTAAAAGGATTTATCTAGGAAAAGAACATTCCAGGCAGAGGAAGTAGCCAGTGTTAGGGCCAGCAGAAAGTAATGTGCCTGGCATGTGTGAGGGACATGGGGACCACTGAGAACAAGGGGATGGTGACTGGCAATAAGGTCAGAGAGGTCAGGGGGTAGGTGAGCAGCAGATGCTGTGGGGCCTTCAGGCCACTGTAAGGATGCTGGCTTTAAATGTGAGCAGAATGGGAAGTAAGTGTGGAAAGGTTCTGAGAAAAAGTGAGAGGTAATCACCAACATATAGTCCACTCTCTATATCCACAGGGGATTGGTCCTAGGACCCCCTTGGATACCAAAATCCGCAGATGCTCAGGTGCTTGATAGCAAAATGGCATAGCACAGTTGGCCCTCTGTATCCATGGTTTCAATTCACACTTGGCTGGCTCCAGGGGTGGGAAACCTGCAGACACCGAGGGCCAAATGTATTATGTAATTTCCTTATTTTTTATCTGTCTCTAGACTGTCCGCTCCATAAAGGCAGATATTTTTCTATTTTGTTCACTGATATAACCCTATGCTTAGCACTTGGTGCGACCCTCAAAACTTACCTGCTGGAAGAATGGCCAATGGATCACTTTACAGCCCTTCCCGCTCACCAGTTTACCTCTGCATTTAATGTATTCATTCACGTGAAGATCACTTTAAAGAAGACAAATTCTATTTCAACTGAAAGATCACGCTAAACACTCCCTTTGGACAACTAAGATAAAATGATTAAACGTCAAGCTGTATTTGCTTCCTTTCCTCATTCTGGACCACAAGCTGTTTCTGCTGGAAACAAGGGAGAGGAAACCACAGTAACGAGGCTACAACAAGTGCAAGCAGTCTTACAGGAGCTGTGGCAGAACTAGGAACATCTAGAGTGAGGAAATAAATTCAACATATCATGATGGCCATGGACAGTGAGCTGCCAAAGTGACCATAAAAGCTACCACTGGCTGCATGTCTGCCCAGTCCCCTGCCCT